AGGTGGCAAAGACTTTAGCTCATCAGTTCCATCCCACGTCGGCGAGAGAGTATGCGGATCAGATGGCAGCCAACGCATCAGCCGGTAGCCCGGTGGGTGAAATGATTATCGCGGGCTCCCCGAAGACCCTGGCTGATATAAATGCTCAACCGGCCAATTTGATCACTCCGGATGGCATGAATCTTCCGAATGGTCAGAGTTTACTGGTAGACCGAGTTGTAGGTAAGAAGGCCAGATCAATTTTTATAGCAATCCAAACGGTGCTATAGTACCGGAGACAGTTATGCAAAAATGTGGAAAACTATGGTAGAGGGGAGAGAGTCGCCGATTTTGTCTTGAGTCTCGATCTAGAGCCCCGCAGGCAGCAGTTTAGATAGAATGACCTCACAGACAAAGACAAAGGCGACTGAATTGGCCACTTCTGGTTTCTTAACTATCAACAGGCTGTCATAGGCTGTCATTCCTGTGAACTAGAAGTCAAATGACCGAACCATTGAGCCATGAGCTCGTTGTCCCGTCAATTGCGATCAGATAATTAACTATGGTAGAGGGGGTGGTCACCGATCGTGTACATATTTTACACGCCGAGAAGGAGTCCTGATGGGCTATTCTAATCATATCACATTGGCCCTCACAGCAAAATTCAACGAAAGTTACGCTATTCCCGGCTTATGAAATAGAGATCCAAATCTCGTGTAGGGTGGAGGCTTGTCAGAAACAGAAGACAATATCTCCCATAATCCTCCAATAAGGGCGTGGAGGCCTCACATTTAATCCGCAGTAAAACTATTACAAATATTCTTTCACACTAATCAACATTACCATGAAGCAGTATAATTGTACGGCAAAAGGTGCGTATTGCCCTTTTGCTCTAATGAATTAGCCTTTCAAAGCTTTTTGTCGCCATCGCTAATCCATGCCACTCGTCTGAGCCACATGGCCGGCGGTTTGGAACCGTGTTTTGCCGACTTGAACAAGAGGCAGTGATCGATCGATAACAGACGAAAACGGCATAAATTGCCAATTTGACCTTCATGTTTTCGTCTGCGCACGCCTGGATACGCGTTTCTGTGTGAATGCCTGTGAGGGTTCGAATCCGAACGAGTAGGAAAAAGGATAGTGGATCCGTAAGATCTAAGTAGTGGGAGTGCTCGGGGCACTACAATAATCAGGTCGAAATCTCAGATTGTATTTAAGAGGCAGAATGCGCCAGAATGGGGGATTTATTGTGCATAGGACTCCTAGTTGCTGTCTCGGACAGTAGTGGCCACTGGCGAAGCCAGGGTTAGTGTTGATTGCGTCTAGTCATGTCTGAGAGGGGTGTGCGACAACACGGGCTCATGTGTGCGAGTGAAAGTCGTTTGAGGATCTGCATGTCAGTGAGTTGGAAACAGCTGCCCGTGCGAAGATGCATGACGTTGGTGCAGTAGGCATTGAACGAGGAAGCTGAACAGCAATATTAACCTTTTGCCACAGCGTTGTCTCGTCGCACGATCATGCCAGAATGAGAAATCCCACCCCACTTCGAGACCAGCAAGTCTCTAGACAATTTTTCGCAATTTTCTTCAATCTGATTGAACCTAATTGTTCTTTCCTTTTCACATATTTTGTTGCAGAGGAGATCAGTTCCTACGACGGTGGCCCCATGTCGAACTTGGGTAAGTGGACTAGTCAGTGCAACCTAGAGCTTGACGTTTACCACAGCTTTTTAAATAATAAACTTTCAATGTACTTCCAGAATGTGCTTCAATGTCCTTTATTGTAAACATCCTCTCTCTCTCCCAGCTTCGGAATTGCGTGAAATTCAGTTCCAAATTGATGGACTACCCGATCCTCAGGACGCCGACCAGGTTGTTGAGCTGCTAACCGCTCGTCGCGAATGCATGTTCCTACTTCTGGATGTCTGTTTGTCCAGCGTTCTGCCAGACACATTCCTCTCGGTCGGCAATGAGGAGGCCTATCGGGTAAGGTTTGAACGCTTTTTAAAATATCAGCACCTCTAGCTAAGAATCACAATTTTGCATATTTGTTTTTAACCATTAATCATTTTCGGTTTAGTCCTAGTGAGGCAACAGTTCTGTTTTTGCAACATGTTTAGTCTTTGTTTTCCATCAGAGGTCCTCTTTTTCTGGGCGATTTGGCATCGCATAGCCATTTGTCGTCTATACTAATCGAAACATTGCTAAACCTGGCATGGCCGCCGTGAATTAACCCACGCGCACTGAAATTCATGCGATTGGCCCTAGACACGCCGCACACAAGGTAATATTGAAGTCCCTGACTTCCCCTCTATTGCATTTGTACTGACATCTTTGTGTTGTCCGTTAGATCAGATAGGTCGTTCGTAAACGCAACCTCCTAGGTGATATGTGTTCTTCCAGCGAGCCTTGGGGTGAGACGACAAATCAAACAAAAGCAGCAAAGACTCGAGTATATGAGGCGCGGCAATGTTTGATGTTTTTCGGTAGGGACGTCTGAACATTACGCGACACCGTCTAACTGAAGTTATAAATTTTCACATTGTTCGGCCCCAAGGATCGCGTTTCTATGCGATAAACCATGATCACGTGGCCAAGTGGTCATAAAGGAGACTTTCTTGAAACGCAATCTTCCGAGGTTCTGTCCGACTCCATTGATGAGTTTGTAGCATCTAAGCAGTGTTTGTATTCAGAGCACTACAATCATCATCACCCCAGTTTGTAGGTAAAATACATAATGCATTTGTGAGAGGGATTTATTGTGCACAGAACTCCCAGTTGCTGTCTCAGGCAGTAGTGGCCACTAGCGGAACCAGGACCAGCCCGCCGGTAAGCGTTGGTGAGGGTTAAGTAACAGAAGACGCTCGGCAAAACAAAAAAACGTGAACGGGGTTTGCATGCCGCATAGATCACCATTAAAGCAGCCACGCCAAAGCTGGTAAGAATTCCTGTAGTTCTGGTCTACAGAACGGACCGGTACCGCAGCGCTCAAGCGACGCGGACCCTTTGTTGTTGTCTCCGCTACCGCTAGCCAA